GTTCAAGTGGCATCCACTTCAATATAAAGGCTTGCAGTTTATCATTCTTAATAGCTGAATAATACTCCATTGTGTAAAAATACCACATCTTTCTCAACTATTCCTCAGGTGATGGGCATCTTGGTTCCAGTTTTTCTTAATTCAAGTGGCCACAGCTGTCTTTGCAAAGAGCTGTAAGGCCAGATCATTTACTCACATCTCAACGCACATTTACCAGGACAGCACCAGCGAACGCCTACAGTAGTCTTTTACATCTTACAGTCAGAGCTCAACCTGCTAACAACAGACACAGATGTGCCGGAAGTACAGTGCAAGCTGAATTTCAGTTCTTGACAAGATCCAAGTCCTGAATGGGAACACGTGAGGCCTTGAGACTCGGGGTGGGCTCGTAGACCCGGTCTGGAACTGACTGCAGCTTCCTCCAAGAGTGCACATTGAAACGGCTGCTCCTCGTGAGTCTTGGGAAATGAGTATCCTCACTTGAAGATCCCACAGTCACGTCACCGTAGCAGAAGGGATGGCGTTCTTGCAAGATAATTAGTCTTCTACTGATGTTCCAACTCATCCATCTTTTACTCCCGCCCACAGAGGCCAGAGCACAGCGTTTTCTGGGAGACGAGTGTAAGGTCTGATCCATACACTAGTAACTTACACACACAAAATTTGTAAAACTTCCTACTTACTGGCAGAAAGACAAGTATGTGTGAAAATGGATTCCGTGAGGATTAAGCCAACACAATATAACATCAGAATGGGCCAAGTTTCTGTACATGATCCATTGAGCAGCGAATTCAGATTTCATGGCTAGCTCATATAGCTGGAAGGGGCTGGATAACTGAGCGTAGGCTCCAGGAGCGCCTGTATTTACTGAGATTGGTAGATCACAACTTCTCACACAAGAGAGAGGCAGGGATCCAAAGCCTTAGGGAACATGGGAGGCTGCAGTGGCGACCTCATGCCTAACTTCCACACGCAGAATCCCCTGGGGTTACATCACCTAGAGGGTCCACAGGACACCACCTTCAGTTCGACTGTCTTTCCTGGAGGGAGTACTACCACTAGTTAGTATTCTGGCCCTCTATCTCCCTGCCAACCCAAAACTTACCAGGCTGCCACAAAGATAAGAGTCTCGTGCTGTTTCTTTCTTTAGCTCTCTGCCTTTCCGTTTGGTTGGTGGCACTTAGTACAAACTGCAGTAACTTTGCCTCCTCTTATAAAGCCTTGAGGATTTTTACCAGCTCACATTTGCAAGACATAACAGCTACATCTACCATGGTGTGCTGGCACAGGTACATAGCACATCTCAGTCCTTTCTATGTCCCTTCCTCCTCCTTCCCCTCCCCCTTCCTCTTTCTCTCTTGGTGCCTTTTTGGTTTTATTTTGACACATTTGTTTTCACTGTCATCTTCCCCAGAGAAAGGCCTGCTTCCAACTTGCTCATCACTGCATGTCCACGGTCTGACCCAGTGCTGGTCTACACACGTTCCATGAGGATGTGTCACCGGCATAACCAAAGAAATGTGGAGTTAGTCTTGTCTTTGTCAACAACAAATCCTGTCCCTCCCTGCTCCCCCAATAGAGATATTCAGAAAACATTATCCTCCCAAAGAGATCATTTACATGGCCGCTAGCAGCTTATGCTAACTTGTAAGTAAGTCCCCTATGTATTTCTTCAGCGGGCAACAAGGGCTGCTTTCTCACCTCTTTTCAATGTATTTTATGCCCAGAAAGACATTTTTTCAAAACTCCCAACATAGGAAAAAATATTCTCTTTAATAAAGGCCAGTTCGGGGCCTTTACCATCTGTTCCTTCACGAAATGTTTGAACAGGAATCTGCCTACTCCAGAAGCCCATTTCGGCCAGCAGTCACATGTCACCTCACACCACAAGCCAAATTCTCAAACATCATTCAAGTCACCTTCTGAACTGCTGAGCAGATTGTGTACAGGCTGGCATATTTGCTAAGCATGTCATCAGGTAACTTTCCTTATACCAGATAGATGGGGGGTTCATTAATATCATAGAATTTCAAAATTTGAGTTTCATTTAATCACCAGCATTTATTTTCTGCTAGCATTCATTTACTTCTAACAACTAGCAGTTGATTTCATGAAGAGCGCGTTGCTAGCCAGGCATGGTGGTACACACCTGTAGTCCCAGCACTCCGGGAGGCTGAGGCAAGGCGAACACAAGTCTTAGCAACTTAACAAGACCTTGTGTCAAAATAAAAAATAAAAAGGTTTGGGGATGTAGCTCAGTGTGAAGGATCTGGGTTCAGTCCCTGTTGGGGACTGGGCTGTGTTAGGGTTAAGTTGCTGACCAGGAAGGGACTTCCAGCTATGTTCCAAAAGCTCACCTGCATAGCCTCTGAAGGCAAGGGAAGACCAGCTTGGGGGAGGACGGGTGCACGTGACACTCTACATTCCAGAGCAATAAACTGGCAACCTCAGTGCTCTTAATTTGCAAGATCCACTGCTTTGAATGTCTCTGTGCTAACTTCTCCATGTCTGGACTTTTTCCTCAGTTTCCTGCATTGCCCTGAACTGTGAAGGACCCAAGCAATATGGGCACTCCAGAGAAGACTCTGTCTTAGCCCCAGGAGAGTTCTGCCTTCCCAGACTCCCCTCAAACCATATTACTTGTTTGTTTGTTTTCTTACACCTTTGCTGTACATTCATAGGAGAAAAGGAGTCCAACCAAGCTCCCAACCAGTCCCTGGTAAGGGTAGTGTGAGGGGAGACAAGACAGAGATGGAGACAGAGACAGAGAGAAAATTGCTACACACATAAACATGCTTTTATCACTTTAAGAGTTACATGCATAGCTACAAACAGCCAAAGAAAAAATAGTACCAAGATCCAGGCAGTATATTAAGTTCATCTATTATCTCTAACTACCTCAGGCTCAGTAGTGTCGTGATTTACCTCAAATTCACACTTCATCAAAAAATCAAAAATTGCAAAATACTGTACATCTTGGTCCCTCAAAGTTGCATTTACAGAGCTAAAATCTTGAGTTTTAAAATCCTTAAATGTCAAAAGATCTACTGACTACCTACATACCATATGCTCAGTTTTGTAAGGATCTGTGTTAAGAAGTTTTTTATTTTTTATTTTTATTTTTTTTAATTTTGTTGTGGTACTGGAGATCAAACTCCAGGACCTTGCGCTTGCCAGGCAGGTGCTTATGCTGCTGAGCTGTTTCCCCAGCCCCCCCAAAATATTTTTAAATACTTAATATCAGGAATCTCCAATAAAAATCTGCTCTCCGTGAGGTAGGAGGATGTAGCACAAGGGTGGAACACGTGCTTAGCATGCCAGAGGCCCACGGCTCAATCCCAGCACACACATACAAACATAGGCGCTTAACATGAAGCACACCTGTGTGTCATCTGTCCAGCTGTGGCTTGGACAGAAATAATAACAAAAACATATCCCTCAAAAGGATGCTGGAAAGGTCCAGGGAGACAGCTCAGTAGAATAAGCACTTGCCTGGCAAGCACAAGGGCCTGAGTTCAATCCTCGGTTCTGGGAGGAAAAAAAAAAAAAGGATGCTGGAAGGACCAAAGGAAACAACCCATGTGAGAGAACAAACGGATAATAAAGCACTATATGTATGTCAATACTAAGTGAAAGTGTCAATAAAATAGAAAAGAAACTCTCATCTAAAAAAATTGGAACAATGCACAGCTCTGCAGAGAAGTTAAAGCAAGGCACCACAGAGATAAATATACCCTGCAACCATTTTATTTTACTTTAAACCGTATGTAAATGAAATTCATTCACCACTCTTCTCAGTAGAACTAAGGCCCTGTCTTTGCTATTGAATCTGTGTATCGAACTTTAGCATTTCTTTCATGTACTGAACCCACATAACCATTTACAAATGCACTTTCAGTTCTTTTGAAGTGTTACAAAACCTTCAACACCTAGAAAACAATTGGAGAGCACATTTCCTAACTTTTTATAAGCTTTCCAACACTTTGTATTTGTCTTGGTCCTCCCTAATTTGACAGTGAATTTTTGAAAGAAATCATTTTCCTCAGTTTTTTCTCAGAGCATTCAATGAACTTTTAACAGAAACATCCCTTTTCACGCCAAGAGTCCATCACTTACAGAATGCGGAATAACAAACGCACGCAGCAGGAGCCTGGGAACAAGCCCCTCGCCTCTTGACAAAGGCACGACCTGCGCGCAGTCGGTGAGCGCCCCGTCGGGAAGCCCGGCACGCACAGCCGTGCGCCCTTCCCGGGGTGCTCAGCACCGACGCGGTCATCCGGCTAAGTCAGTCAGTCAAGAGTGTTCGCTGTGCACGAATTCTCAGCTCAAGCACAGCTAAGAACAAGCTTAGAACAGCCGCCAAGTCAAGCACTTGTCTGCTGCTGCCTTCTCGTAGCTTTTCTTTTTTTAAAAAAAATTTTATTTTTATTTACTTTTTTTTTCGTAGCTTTTTTCAGTCACGGGTTTTGGTGCACTTAGAAAACACTGAAAGCAGATTACAAAGTATTCAAGAGAACCGCAATGAGGCAATGGAAGAGGGATCAGATACTTCAGTGATGAAATAAAGAACCTGACTTCCAACAACAAGGCTAAACGAATCAGTAAGAAGCATTTCAAGAAAATTACAACAGACCTATAGTAATTTCATGAAATTATTTTGAAAGAATAAAATTAAATTAAAAAAATAAAAATAAAATTTAAAGACCATCCATCTTTAAAACTTGTCATTAACAGCATAAAAAAAGTTTTCTGAAGACTGTTTGAAAAACATTAAGACTTAGATTAGCTACATTCCTTCTGTAATCATGAGATGTGTCAAGTGAAAACGTACTTATCTCACTGGAAACCTGATTCAGTTTATCCTGTGATCTGCTGACCAGGACAATCTTCATTCCACGCTTTGCTAACTAAAACAAGAAGAGACCTGAATGACACTTATGCATTTCATTTTAAAGACATAAAGTACATAGATCCTCATTTTTTTTTTTTTTTTAATTTGGTACAGGGTCTCACTATGCAGCTTAGACTCGTAGTGATCCTCCTGTCGCAGCCTCCCCAGCGCTGGGATTACAGGCGTGCATCACCACACCAGGTTTCAGTGGCCAACTCGGTGCACCTGGGGTGGGGCCAGCACGGCATGTGGTACCAGGAATCAAACCCGGGTCCTTGCACTTGCCTAAGCGGGCACTTAGTCCACTGAGCTCTCTCCCCAGCTCCATGTATCCTCATTTTAAGAAAACTTGATCACATGATAATTCACATAAAAAGAAAAGCCCAAATGTAATGAATAAGCAATCTAAAATAATTACTTGACAGAAAGCATTGCCCAAAGGATTATCTTTCTAAATCAAGAATTTAAATCTCGGGGCCAGGGAGATGGCTCAGTGGAATAAGCGCTTTCCTGGCAAGCACAAGGGCCTGAGTTCAATCCCCGGTTCTGCCATAAATAAATAAATAAATAAATAAGATAAGATAAGATAAGATAAGATAAATAAAGAATTTAAATCTCTAAGGGCTTTAGGAGCAAAGTGATTGTCACTTTTCCTTTTAGAGCTGTATATATAGTGAAGGTTTTAAAATTTGTTAAATATCTACTATTTTATAAATTAAAACTTAGCTTTAAAAAAGTTTTTATTATACACTGCACACATAACACAAAGATCAGAGGCTGGGCTTGGTGGCTCACATCTGTAATTCTAGCACTCAAGAGGTTGAGGCAGGAGGATTGCCATGAGCTCGAGGCCAGCCTGGGCTCATTACATGAGTTCAAGGCCAGCCTGAGCAACACAGTGAGACCCTGTCTCAAAAGCAAACAAAACAGGCCAAGGAGACAGTTCAGTGGTCTAAGAACTTGCCGGGTAAGTGCAAAGACCCGAGTTTGATCCCCAGTACTGCATGCCATGCAGGTCCCTCACCAAGCTGGCCACCAAAACTGGGCGTGGTAGTTCATGCCATGCCTGAAATCCCAGCACTGGGTCCCTGGAACCACCAAAAATAATAATAATAATAATAATAATAATAATAATAATAATAATAATAATAGCGGGGCTGGGGAGATGGCTCAGTGGAATGAGGGCCTGAGTTCAATCCCCGGTTCCACCAAAAAAAAAAAAATAATAATAACAACAACAAAACGAAGATCAGAGGGTTGACAAAAATAGCAGTTAAAATGTTATCAATTCCTACAAATATAATCTATTTTAAGTTTTTATTTAGGCATTTATACTTTATAGACAACCAAAGCAAACTAAGATAGTTAACTGTTTAAATTAATTTTAAAAATCTAAGACATATCACCTACTATCTAATGATGTTTAAGTGTTGCACAAAAAGACAAAACTGGGCCCGGCGAGATAGCTCAGTAGAAAAAGCACTTGCCTGGCAAGCACAAGGGCCTGAGTTCAATCTCTGGTTCCACAAAAAAAAAAAGAAAGAAAGAAAGAAAGACAAACCTTTCTAAGAATGTATTGCTACCTTAGAGACACATAAACACGGGCTAGAGAAACAATGGCACAAAACTTAGTGAACTATTCCACAAAGTTTATAAATAAATTTGGTGTTGTGAACTACAAGTGATTTAGTAAACTAATATTCCAAGTCTAAATCCTAAAGTCAGCTTGTATAAAGTAATGAGTGGTACCACAAATGAAGCCATGGAAGAACATTTTTAATAAAAATAACAAAGGCTGGTAATTGGCTAAATTAATCTGCTATAAAACCACTAAAGAATCCATTAGCTCGTATTGATAGCTTTAAAAAAATTAACTGGGTAAGAGGAGTAAGGAAAGCCCTCACTTACAGAAAACCATAATCTAATAAATGTAGGAGATATGTGGAAAAATAACCATTTTAAATGACTATGGTAATAAGTTGGCAAAATCTTGTACAGTAAATAATCACTAGGAAGAGAGTATGCAATGTGTTAATTATTGAAACTGTCCCACCAATTTGATTTGAAATTGTCTCATTGCTATTTGTTTCTCAATAAAATTATGGAAAAAATAAATAAATAAATGGAGAAGAGTTAAAAAAAAAAAGTTGGCAAAAATTATCAATGGGCTGGGGAGATGGCTCAGTAGGATAAGCGCTTGACCGGCAAACGCAAGGATCTGAGTTCAATCCCCGGTTTCGCAAAAAAAAAAAAAAAAATTATCAATGGATCTTAAAAACACTAGACAAAAGATTCCTAGGAAACAGGACATTTATAGTCTCAAAGAACAATCCTACATATCCTTTATTAATCACTTTTATAAGGTCCAGCCAAATAGCTCAGCAAATTAAATAAAGCACCTGCAAGCAGGCTCAGGAGCCGGGGGTTCGATTCCCGGGCCTGCCGTGCTGGCCCTGCCCCTGGGATGCACTGAGATGGCAATTAGGACTGGCCTGAATTCAGCAAAAAAATCCAACACAGTCCAGCAGTCCACAATTGTAGTGGGCCATCCGCAGGACTGGCAATGTCAGAAGTTGTTGAGCCCTTTACAGCTCCCACTGAGCTATTTGGCTGGCCCTTTATCTTTTGGATATTTAAAAACTCAAAGCCATGCACAATAAACAATATAAAATAAAGTTATAAAATAAATAAATAATAAAGTTACTAAATTTCTTATCATAGAAAACTATACCCACTTTTTTGCAGGCATTTGCTTTAAAATTTCTTATTTATGTACACAAACTTGGTATTTCTCACAAGATTAAAAAAAAAAAATCCTGGTACATTGTATTTCTGATTTTAACTTCAAAAACTGTTGTGACAGATTATTCCATTTTTAAGTATAACAAAAGGCAAGATCTTGATGAATCCCTACCTGTTCTGCATATGATTTTCCAATTCCATCAGTGCCACCTGTGACAACTGAGAAAGGAAAAAAATAATAGGTTAGTTTAAAAACTTCAATGAGGAATTGCTCATAGTTAAAATCCACCAATTACACACACACAAAAAAAAAAATTATAATGCTACTTGGATGTGAAAGAGCAGCCAGAGGTTCGGTGCAGCTCAGGGGCAGAGGATACGTGTAGCACACGTGGGGCACCTAGGTTCTATCCCTGCACCATAAAATTAATAAAGGGAAATGCTGGCTGTACACACATAGGGTTGAATACCCCTCACAACAACTTGCATTAAAAAGGCTATAATATCAAATGCTGACAAGGATGAAGGGCAACTAGAACTCTTGCACACTGTTGGTGGCACTGTAAAGCAATACAGTCACTTTGGGAAAACTACTGACAGTATGTCTAGAATTAAAGATACATTCACCCTGTCGCCCAGCTACTCTGAAGAAATAGAAATTAACTGTAGCCACCAAAGAATCTCATGGGTGCTTCACTTGAGCATGGTTGGTAAGCATGCCTAGACATTAATTACAGGAGAATGGGTAAGAAGATGGAGGTAAAGTCATACAATGAATACTTAGCAGCAACGGGTAATGAACTACTGATATGAACAAAGTATGAATGAATTGAAGACACCATGCTGGGTGAGGAAGTGTGACACAAAATTGTACGATAATTCCATTTATGAAGTTCAAGAAAGGGTGAACAAGCTTACGGTGACAGAAGTCAGATTAGTTTCTTCTGGGATAGAGGTAGATGACAAAGAGGTGTAAGGGAAACTTCAGGGGTGTATATTTACCTCTGTGTATATAAATTTATTGTATATATAAGTACATTCTTTACTATATATATTACATCTTAGCAAACTAATTTTTAAAAATAGTTAAAAAATTGAACATACTTTAATTTAATTTTTCTATGGCAAAGTACATTTCTTATAACCTCAAAAACTTCATGTAAGACCAGCAATGGTGGCGCATGCCTGTAATCCCAGCACTCAAGAGGCTGAAAACAGGAGGAGCTGTGTAGTGAGACCCGGTACACCATGGTATCTTATCCCTGGAATAATGGAAGCAAATGCATTACAAGTTCAGGGCACAGATACGTGCTTTAAGAGGTTAGGGATACCCTAAACTTTTCTCATTTACAGATTATGGAAAACAAGTTACAGTGTAGTAACTTGCACACTTGTAGTAACAGTGATTTGTTGTACTTGTCCTAAAATCGACTCTTTTAAATTACACTGGCTCCCAATTTTACTCTTTAGAAATATGCCAGGGCCAGGGAGACAGCTCAGCAGCATAAGCGCCTGCCTGACAAGTGCATGGTCCCAAGTTCAATCCCTGGTACCACGAAAAGAAATATGCCAAGCGCAACCCTATTCTTCCTAGCCACAGCTTTCAGTATCTCCTAGGCTTTCATCATGTCCCAGCGCAGCCTTCGTCTTTCCAGAATTAAAAACAAAACAAAACTTTTTAGAACAAAGTTTCAGCCAGGTGGTGCACTTCTGTAACACCAGCTCTATAGAGGCTGAGGCAGGGAGACGGCGAGTTCAAGGCCAACCTGGGCTACCTAGTGAGTTCAAGACAGCCTGGAGGACTATATAGCTAGAGGCTGGGCAAGAGGGCCAGCAGGCAGGCAAGTCAAAACTACCCAGACTACAAACCCCCATGTACCCAGGGTCCAGTTTCACCGAGGATCAATTTGAGATTAATCTTGCTTCATCTATACCCCACCTGCCTCCTCCCACTTCAGATTATTTTGAAGTGAATCTCAAACATACTATTTTATCTATAAATGCTTCAGTATGTATTCGCTATCAAAAATAAACACAGTATCATACACATTCCTAAAATTATAAATAATCAATATTTCATCAGTATAAATGTCCCCAAATATTTCAAAAGCTTTTAATCTTTTGTGTGTGTGTGTGTGTGTGTGTGTGTGTGTGTGTGTGTCTCAGGAGTCAATAAATTCCACACTTCCAATTAGTCAGCATGTCTGCTGAGTCATGAAATCCGTAAGCACTACGTAAGCACCTCACTGCAAGTCCCACCTTTTCCTTCCACTCTTCTTGTCGTTCCAGCCTGGGTCTAGGTGTACCCCAAAGCCTCACGCAGCCCTAGCTGGGGCCCTTTTAGAGATGGCCGGATCAAGTGTGTGATGCTGGGATTGGTTCATGGTGCAAGACTGGGCTCCGGGGTGCTAGGATGAAGGGTTCGAGTACTGCAGACCCTAAGTAGCCTGACAAGATAAAGGAGGCAGGAAGGTGCTGTTAAGGCCCTTGCTTCTCTTGCCACCTTCTGCCTGCCATGAGCCAGTTTTCCTCTGCAAAGCCCCCTGCTATGCCATCTTGGTATGGAGGCGTTCGATTATAGACGGAAATCTCTACAAATTGTGAGGTGAATAACCCCTTCCCTCTTTGTCCTTTGGGTATCCAGTGTTTTGTCTCAGCAACAAGAAAAGCAAGAGAGGGGCCAGGGAGACAGCTCAGTAGAATAAGTGTGTGCCTGGCAAGTGCAAGGGCCTGAGTTCCATCCCCGGTTCCACAAAAAACAGCAACAACAACAACAAACAAAAAAACTCCAAGAAAACCAAGAGGCCGTCTGCCTTTCTTTCACCACATCCCTCTCTCCCTCCCCTTCTCACTCATTTGTTGAACACAGCAGGGCACAGTTTTGTGTTGGCTTTTTGCTGACTGCATTCTACTGGTGAAATTTAACATATTCCTCTGTCATCAAGTAACTGGGTATTGATACTTGATCAATTTCAGGTTTGATTTTTGGAAGTAGGAATGATTTGAAAGTGACACTGTATATTTACATTACATTTGTTTTATTCATGATTACTACTGAGATCCATTCTTTCATTAGGGATTCCAAAATAGTAACATTTGAATTCAATCATTCATCTGTATCGATCAGCTGAAATAGTTCCATAGAGAATGCATTCTCACTAGTTGGGTACCATATGTATAGTATGTATAAGATTACAAAATAAGTCTTTTGAGGTTTTTCACCTTTATCAGTCTTTAAAAAAAAAAGTTCCCTAGTATTTTTAAAGGTACCCCATTTTTTTTTGCTAACCATGGTAGTTTTGCTTATAAGAAAAATTATTGTGACCGGGCGTGGTGGCACACGCCTGTAATCCCAGCTCTTGGGAGGCTGTAAATAGGCGGATTACTATGAGTCTGATCTAGTAGTGAGACCCTCAATGTCCTGTAGACCCTTCCCTAAAATACACACACACAAAGAATCATTATTAAAGATGTACACACTCGTAGGAGCCAGCCACACAAACCTCAGTGCCATCTGAAGGCCTCTCCACCCTCATGATTGAGGTAATACCTTTCTGTAATGCTTCATCGTGTCCATGTTTCTGGAGGCACAGAGATCCAAATTTCATACTGCGCCCTGTTACGGACTCACTAATGCTTCACTAGAGAAGGAAAAACACGTTGCAATTTTCTCCTTTCCCTCTCTCCAATAAGCTTTTCTGTGTTCTCCAAGATCTCAGAACCTAACTCCTGTCTTAGTTGGCTTTCGAAGCCTTCTTCAGGCTCTGTCTCCTCCTCTGCTGCTGACAGCTCCAAGCGTAAGCAAGCCTCTCCCGTCTCTCACGGCCACAAGCGTTTTCGCACCTCACTCCTCCCTGGACTGTACCTCCTTACATCTACATGGCTCTACTCCTTGATTCTAGGCTCCTTGCTATGTGACACACATAAGGCGGTGCTCAGTGGATGTCTGCTGAGTGTGTGACACGCTGCAGTCAGGTCAGTCTTTTAAATTACAAAAACACGAGATTTAAGTCTGCGTTCCTGAAACCCTGGCTTCCCAAAGGTCTTCACTTTCTAAGAACAATATCTTACACTGTCCTGCACTAAACCCCTACCAGCCACTATTTACACAGTCTTGCGTAACTAGATTATTCTCTCTATGCCTACAACTAGAGTAACCGCAATGCATATACATCTATAGCCATGACTGATGGCAATATTACATTTCCCACTTTAGGAGCTTAAAATCCCTTAACAAGAAAATGGTCAAGAATCAAACTACAATACAGTCATTCAATATTCTGCATCTATGCTTTCTGACTGGAATACACTTCAAAGGAATACAGAATTTCCACTATGCGTATATGTCTGCTTATAAAATTGTTAAGCCCAGGCTGGCCAATGGCAACATAGCATACTTTAAAGCTAAAACCAGTCCTTGACAGCCCAGAATCTGGCAGGCCTGGAAGATCTGAAGTTTGCCCAGTGCATATTAAGTCCTCCTCTTCTGGATTCCCCAGTTCTTTGGAACTAGCAGTGGACAGAATCAGTGTACTGTGCAATAGCGTGGACCGGGGATGCCCCCCGAGGCACATGTGCTAAGGGCTTAGTCAGAAGCCTGGCATAACTGGGAGGGGCCTAGTAGGAGGTCTTCTGGTCACTGGGGAGGGGAAGCTGGAGGAGACACAGCAGCGTGACACCAGCCAATCCCTCCTCCTCACATCTGAGCAGGACATGAGCAGGTCTGGTATTGCAGGTACCCTCTGTGAAGGCCTGCCCTCCCACCAGAAGCCCAGAGCAACGAGTCCACCCAATCATGGAGTGGAACCTCTAAAACTGTGAGGCAACATGTACCTTCCTCCTCCTAAGTTATTATCTCGGGTTGTTTGCCATAGCAACAGAAAGCTAACACAGCGGGCCAGATCTTCCCTGAGGACAGAAGTACTGTCAGCCCTGTCTTTGCCAAGAGTGCTGCTTGCTCCCCTCATGACCGAGTATCTTCCATAACTACCCTGAGCCACAGGCAGTTGCTTGACTGTCCTTGGTAGCACATGTCTGATGACCAGCATACACTCAGGGACACAAGTACTATCCCCAAGACCATCCCAATACGCCCCACCTGTACACTCTCGAGTCCAAATCCATTTCCTCATGAACTGCTATGAACCTGCCATCAAGTTATTTTTAAAAATCAACATTATACATGTAAAAGTAATACATACACAATTAGAAAAAACAAA